TCCTAATCACTTTCCAAGTTCTTTATGTCTTCCTGCACCTGAGCGCAGGCGCGCACACACACACGCACACAAACACACACACACACGCACACACACATTTATTTTTCAGTCCCTGCCAGGACATTGTCATTCCTCAAAAAAAAAAAAAAAAAAAAGAATATGGTAACTTAGTGAATTGCATGAGGAAAAACAATCAGCCGGGTGTAGTGGCTCATTTCTATAATCCCAGTACTTTGGGAGGCCGAGGCGGGTGGGTCACCTGAGGTCAGTAGTTCAAGACCAGTCTGGCTAACATGGTTAAACCCCGTCTCTATAAAATTACAAAAATTAGCCAAGAGGGTGGCACACATCTATAATCCCAGCTACTCGGGACGCTGAGGTAAGAACTGCTCCAACCCAGGGTGCAGAGGTTGCAGTGAGCCAAGACTGCACCACTGCACTCCAACTTGAGACTCTGTCTCAAAAAATAAAAATCTAGAAAAGAAACTATTGGATTTTTTTTTCTTTCATAATATTTTTGCTTTTAACATTTAACCTTGCCTCCTGGTGCACTTTGCTCCGCAGAAATGCTTCTTTGGGCAAAGTCCTTGGTGTCTTCATTTTCAACATAATGACAATAAAGCAACCTATCTCCGAAGTTTCCATTTCCACATTTGGAACCAATTAGCCCTCGGCTGTAGGATTAGGCTGATTCTTGGCCAGTTCTGTTACTATTCAGAGAATTTAAGAATCCGTAGACCAATATTCAATCTGGAGTAATGTTCAGTTCTTCTATCCCTGGTACTCACCTGCCTTTGCCATGCCTCCTAGGAACTGAAGTCTAGTCCCAGAATCACACAGGGCTGGGCTCTTCGGCTCTTGGCTGCTCAGCCTTCCCAGTAGCCCTCCCTGTCTTCAAGCTTTCCGGCATATTTCCATCACCTGTCACCCACTGCTCTGTCCCTGTGCTTTGCCAGATCATCCCCATCATTTCCCTTTGCCAGCTTCTAGACATGCTCCTCAAAAACCGGTCTGCTTTCCCGGTCTCTCCTTGGCCACCTCTACAGTCCATCAAAGTACTACTAATTCCAAGCACTTGAGTATCAGCATCCAAAAATGTTCACCTGTTCTACCGACACTGAGAATCTGGAAGAACAAGATACTGGAAGTTTCACTAGCAGGCCAGTAGACACCCACAGAAAAGACGATGCACACATACAGATAGAAAGACTGAGTCCCCATCACCTCAGACAGACACATCCCACACCAATCTCTCCTCCATTCCTGTGAAACTCACCTCCCAGACACCAGTGAAGAGAATCCAAATCACCAGATTGAAGTTTGGTTGTCCACAGTGCAAACTTTAGATTCAGATTGTCTTGGTTCCATCCCATGTCCACCACTTACTAACTATGTAATCTTTGGAAAGTTACTTGGCCTTTCTAAACCTCAACATTCACCTTGTTAAAATGGCAGGAATAATCATTTACCCCATCAGGTTTCTCTAAGTCCTAAATGAGGCAATCCACATAAGGTAATGAGGAAGCACTGAGGCTACAGTTGACACTAGATAAATGCTAACTTGCCAGTACTATTAAACCCTTTTTCATTACATACAAACAGGGAAATAAGAAATAAATTTTTAAAAAATACTGGTGCCTGAGAATTTCAAAAAAAGACTGTGCCCAACTGTTATATTTTTTTCCTAACTTTCACTTTTATGCCTCACTTTGATCATGCTTGCTAGTGACAGCTGGCCCATGACGCCATGACAGCTAGCAAGTCAACAACTGCAGCATTTCTCAGCAGCTGAATTCAAGCCTGCAAGCTTCATGAGACACTTGAGTTCTCTTCAACATACTGCTGAAGGGTGAGAGGTGTTTCTGCTTAAGGAACTATTAAAAATCCAAGATCCTCGAACACTCTTAAAGAACCCTTGCCCCACATAGAACAGGCTTCCAAGCCTTTATTCACCGGCTCGTGGGACTTTGTGCCATGCTAAGAATTAGCTGGGACCCCGATTCTAAGGTTGAAGTTCTCAGGGCTCCAAATCAAGGCAGGTTTATAGTCTTGACTTTTTCACAGAGAGAACGCCACATTCCTCAGGGCCCCTACTGCCGATTTCACCTTGGCAATTCCTCACAATTTGAAAAATTACCTAGAGGCATGCTGAGACTCATAGCACTGTGCAGACAATTTCTAAAGAATGGCAAAAGTTATCCAGCTAAAGAACTGTTTTTCCAAAGTGTGGGCTCTGACCCACTAGTGAGAAATGAAATTTAGTCTCTCTCTAGAGACCTGTTTTTAGTAAAATAGAACAGAAATGTCCCACTTAGTAAGGGTAAAGCAGCAGTCATGTTTTCATTACATATATAGGTATGTCTGTACTAGATCATATTGTAAAACATGTAATTCTAGCTATGGATCAAGATGAAATTTTTATGAAAGTTGCAGGTCTAATGGGATGACTAAATCAGTATCTATTTTTCTACACATAACAATAACATTTAAGAATCTGGAGGATTGAACACTAGGAAATACCAGGGAATCTACAATAAAATTTAGCTAATGGGTAAAAGTTATTCAGACAACATTAGGGAAAATTAATTCAAGCCAGCTTACATCAAATGTCTGGAAACCTACCTAGTACTTAAAGAATGTAGGTATGACAGCACACTGCCAGGGCCCAAATTGTGTCACTGGTTGGCTGTGTGATTTACAGCTCTGTAACTTAGCATCTCCAAACCTAGGGTTCTTCACCTGTGAAATGGGGATTAAAAAATGGAGTTACTAGAAGAATTAAATGAATTACTATAATGAACTGTTAGAAATAAAGTATTGAGATTGGGTGCAGTAGCTCACACCTGTAATCGCAACACTACAGGAGGCTGAGGCAAAAAGATTGCTTGAGGCCAGGAGTTCAAGACCAGGCAGGGCAACATAGCCAAACACTATCTCTACAAGATTAAAAAATAAGAAATTATCCTGGTGTGAGGGCATGCACCCATAGTCCTAGCTACTCTGAAGGCTGAGATGGGAGGAGCCCTTGAGTCCAGGAGTCTGAGGCTGCAAGGAGCTATGACTGTGCCACTGCACTCCAGCCTGAGTGACAGAGTGTGACCCTGTCTCAAAAAGAAAGCAAGCAAGAAAGAAAAATATTACACAGCAGTCAGCACCAGTGCCTAGCACAAAGTAAGTACTTTTAGCTGCCATTTTATTTGCCATTGAAATTGGTAGTTATTACTGTTGCTTATAACAGGCAAAAATATATTGTTGTCTAAATAATCTTATCTCACAAAATAACACCCAGTACACCATGAAGACCAAATAGCTACCTTCCCCACGTTAGCCATCCAGTCCATTAAATTCCTAGTACTCAAAACGCCAAATCTGCCTGAATAATCCCGAGAGGCCTGGGGTTCCATTTGTAGCTGGAACTACCCAAACAGTGGGTGTAGGCTTGCAGATGTGGGGTTAATGCCATGATATTTTGTTCTATGGAGTAATGGCCAGTATGGGTTCGAAAATAAACAAATACTTTAAGTTGTCATCTGTGAAGAAAACGTAGCCTTTTAATCATTTTTTTCATATAATACCAAAAGGAATTCTGAAGAACTTTCAATTAATTATTTCGCAACCTTAATAATTCACCTAGAGCTATTTTTTAATAAAAATAAAAGCTCATTTCACCTTTCCACCTGCTTCAACCCTGTCAGGACTTTCTCAGTGGCGGAGAAGGTGAGGAAAGTGTTGCCCAGGAAGCCCCATGGCAGAGATGGCGAACAACAAACCTAATTGTGCCTGAACATCGATAAGAACAGCATTTTCCAGCTTTCATTTTCTTTGGTCTATTCCCACCCAAGGCTGTGCCACACTTCACAGCAGCAAGGAAAAATTAATACAGAACTTTCTGCTTTAGGCTGGGTTGAATGGGAATCTTTAGTAAAGAAGAAGTTTCTCCCAGCTCCAGATTGCTTGAGCAGACTGTAAATGAAATCAGTGAGACCTCCTCGATGAGGACATTTTAAAAACTCCATCCTCCTGCTGGGCTGTCTTAATTCTAGCATGCAGCCTGCAGGTCCTCCCAGGGGCGGGGCATCAAAGAGCCAGCAAGTCATAGTTTTCACGTTAAGAATAGAGGAGAGGTGTGTGGATGCAGAAGTGAGGGAAGCCCAGTGGTGATTTTCTGTCTCCCTCCCATTCACAAATATCCTCACAGACACAGATCAGAGTCTATGGTGACATCAATAGAGACTGGGTTCTAATTCCAGCTTGAGGAAAATGTGTCCAAGAGTAGTCTAGCACCAAGCCAAGTGAAAGCCATCAAAGGTGGAGACAGACTTCCCTTAGGAGTAGAGTGACACAAGATAGGCTGGACATTCTTTGCAAACAGTAAGCCTCATTCCATCTTAAAGAAATAGCACCAGCTGGGCACAGTGGCTCACACTTGTAATCCCAACACTTTGGGAGGCTGAGGCAGGTGGATCACCTGAGGTCAGGAGTTCAAGACCAGCCTGGCCAACATGGCCAAATCCCGTCTCTACTAAAAATAATAATAATAATAATAATAATACATAAATTAGCCAGGCATGGTAGCAGGCGCCATAGTAGCCAGGCATGGAGGCAGGCGCCTCCAGCCACTCTGGAGGCTGAGGCAGGGAGAACTGTTTGAACTGGAGAGGCAGAGGTTGCAGTGAGCTGAGATCACGCCATTGCACTCTAGCCTGGGCAACAGAGCGAGACTCCATCTTAAAAAAAAGGTGGGGGGTGGCGGGGGGGGGGCCGGCGGCTGGGTGAGGCGCTGAGACGGTTTAGCGGAGAGTCCTGGGCCAGGCACAGCTAAAGACCCCGCAACCCGGGAGATGCCAAAACAAACCGGAGGACTTGGGATTGCGCCGCAGACGCCACCTACCCGCCACCAGAGGACTCGGCCCTGAAAGGCCTCTAGGACTAGGCGCGGCCAGCCGTGTTGCTGCTGTGAGTAAAACGAGCACCCTCTATGCAGTCCTTTACAAATTAAAATGGAGGAAATTTCTTTGGCCAACCTGGATACTAACAAGCTAGAGGCCATCGCTCAGATTTACGTAGACCTGATAGAGGATTCTTGTTTGGGATTCTACTTTGAGGTGCACCGAGCAGTTAAGTGTGGCTACTCCTACCTGGAGTTCGCAGAGGCTGGTAGCATGGAGCATTTTGGCATTCAGCCAGCAGAAGACAAAGGCGCATGCCGCCTTCCACTTTGCTCCCTTCCGGGAGAACCTGGGAATGGGCCTGATCGGCAGCTGCAGCGCTCACCTCCGGAATTCCAGTAGCTGCAAAATGAGATTCTGAGAGTGGCCAGGACAATAACATAGACAGGTCCTGTGGCTTGGAGGAGTAAGCTAAGGAGAAAAAAGTAGAAAAAAAAAAAAATCAGACAAAAGTTCTAATTCCCCTTGAAGATCCTAGCGTTTAAAAACCCAAAGAGGATAATTTAGGAATCCTTTTTTTTTTTTTTGAGACGGAGTTTCGCTCTTGTTACCCAGGCTGGAGTGCAATGGCGAGATCTCGGCTCACCGCAGCCTCTACCTCCTGGGTTGAGGCACTTCTCCTGCCTCAGCCTCCTGAGTAGCTGGGATTACAGGCACGCGCCACCATGCCCAGCTAATTTTTTGTACTTCTTTTTTAGTAGAGACGGGGTTTCACCATGTTGACCAGGATGATCTCGCTCTCTTGACTTCGTCATCCACCCGCCTCAGCCTCCCAAAGTGCTGGGATTACAGGCGTGAGCCACCGCGGCCCGGCCACAGGAATCCTTTTTTAAAGTGTATCACCTGGAGCGTATCACTTGGAGCCAGCTCTGAAGCCCTGGGCAGGAGGAGCTGCACAGCCTGCGGGCCATGCAGTGCCTGTTGATCTCCTAACATACCAGGATATGCGCAAGATTCTGTAGTTCCCCCAGTGCACGGGTGAGCAGTGTGTGCCCAGCATATAAAATTTTTGGTTCCTCAGCTTTTCTGTCTGTCTGATGTCAAGGACTTCCTGGACAGTTTGGACATTGCAGTTCATCAGGCCATAATCAGTGGCCTGCAGTGGAACTGCTCATTTGATATCTGAGCCTCTGATATGGGCTTCTCTGAGACAAGTAAATGTCAGGTGCAAGATCTGGATACTAACAATTTCAATTTGGGAAATCCAAGAAAAAGAATTCTCAGGTTTGGTAGGGAAGCTCTGTAGCTCTGACTCCAGCAAGAAGAAATGGTCCAAACCACCTGTTTCCCACCTCTTTCCCATGCAAAGATCCAGCCTTTGCAATGATTTCAACTGACTTGAGGAGAAGGCCTCGCATTTGGCTAAGCAGTGCCCTCTTCCTTGCCCTCCAAACTGGTGGCATAAGTTTGGCACATGGACAACTTGGTTGTCCAGTCAGGCTGAGGATTCGGTTATGTTCCCCTGGGGAGGTAGAGAGGACCTCTGCAACTGTGCACAATCTCTCAAACTGCAAGATTCATGTCTGGATGTATTATGTTGTGGACATAAGTTTAGGAGGGTGGTCATTTCCTACTCTGGGTTACTGGTTACCCAGCCAGTCCATGGGTGTGACTTGGTCATTAAGCCAGGTCACTAGCTGCCTCCCACCCTGGGGATGGGACTGAACTATAGAAAAGCATCATGGCTGTGCTGGAAGGAGGCTGTGATTTGAAAAAAGCCCAGAGGGGATCTCTTTGAGTTTAAATGAGACTGTGGCCTACTTCCTAACAATGTCTTGGAAGTGGGATGATGGAGAAAGGCCATGGTCCAATCCCTCTACCTTCAGATAGGGAATTCAAATCGTGAAATTACTGTTTTCTTTCTGGCCTTTTCTCCTGGTTAGAGGAGGAAGTAGGAAGTAGTTTGGAGTAATAGTTTATTCACATTACTCCCTTTTTGTTTTTCGTATTTTTGTTTGTTTGTTTTTGGCCCCTCTACCAATAGGGCAATAGCCCCCTGCCCTGCATGGGTATAAGGTGGGCCTCATCCAACAGGTGCCCAGAGGATACAGACTCCTTTCTGGGGAGAGGATGCTCCCTACCATATAGTTGACAGTGGTTAGGAACTCTCCCTTTCCCCATCTACCTTCCTTTCAACAGCAGAATTCCTGTTTTCCCCTTCTTGCTTCAGTATGTTGATCACCCTGCAGTCCATATTATGTATCTGAGTGTGTGTGTGTGCATGTGTGTGTGTGTTATGGGGGAAAGGGGTTCTTTAAAATTTCTGTGGTTTGTGGCTTTTTCTTCCATACATTTGTTCCCACCATCGCATGCCCAGACACCACTGCCTGGCATTATCTATTGCATGCTGGGATCATTGAGGGAGGGAAGTGAAGCTCACCACTGTCCTTTGTTTTGGAGATTCTTATTTTTGCATAAGTAGTCCATCCTATACAGATAGCTAACTAACTGTATTTCCCTTTCCCCTATGGCTGCTGGTGTAAATAAACTGCATTTTCCCATTGGTAAACAGTAATAAACAAAATTTTTTAAAATGGCAAAAAAAAGGAAAAAGAAAGAAATAGCATCAAAAATGATAGATTGCACTTTTAAAAAATACTCTTAATTTGTCAGTGTCTAAATAAACAGTACTTCCACTTGAAACAATAGGCTAAAGATATCATAATATCTAGTTAAATTCTCTAATGTCAAATAAGAGTGTCATTATGTTCTATCCATATCTGAGCTAGAAACAATGCCATGAAATGTTAATAAAAAAAACCTTTAAGGAATATGAAATTTCCTAATTGAAAAATGAATTAGCTATATTCCCAAAGAAACACACAGGATGCAGACCATGGTTATTGTTTTAGGAAGCAGACAACCCATATTAATGTTGTCTGAAGAATTCTTTTTTAGCTAAACATTAGCTGTAACTAGGGAAGACGTTTGCATAACTCAGCATCATTCAAAATCAAAATGCATATAGAATCTGATCTGAGATCATTTTCAAAGCCCTGCTTCTATCAGATGTTCAAACAGATAAAGAAATTTTATACAAAGCTCTATTCTTAATGAAAATCCATCTCTCCTTTCTTCCTCACCTCTGGCTGATCATGACAGAAAGAAGCTTTCCACTAAAGAAAGTGGATTGAGTAGGAATGCGGAAGGAAACACATAATGTGTATTCAACCCTTCACCCACTGCCGGCTCCTGGGATTTAACTGGCTTTGAAATATGTATAAGCTAGGGGGACTGTTGTATTATTCATCAAAGATTTATCAGACCTTCAAACTCAGTTACATATAGTGACCATGGGACACTTAGAAATAATAATAACAAAATGGGTAATGAAATTATCTTTTTCAGAAATGCTCTCTAGGAAAAGAAAAAAAAACAAAACAATTATTTAATATTGATTCCTAATCCTCTAAATAAAAATTATAGCAAGCTTCCCTCATCCCGCAACACTTATTTTTTTAAAGTAACAACTCAGTTATCAAGGATTCCTTCCTCAACTGTGGCCAGTGAAAAGCAAGATTTTCCTGTAAAGAGTCAATGCCTTCATTTGGTAGATAAACATTGCAAAAGACCTCCAAAAAAGTCATCGTGGTCCAAAAAGTTGAATTATCCTTAAAAACAGAAGTGGAACCAAAAACACCCTACTAATGCTTTCTAAACCTAGATTTTTGTTTGTTTGAATGGAAAGGAAGTTGGAAGCCATGTAATATGACTCTCCAATTGTACAGATAAGATTGTACAGATAATTATACAGATTGGAGCCCCAGTGATTCTGTGACTTGGCCAAGGTCACAGGCAGATAATCATATTTGTTACTTTGTTCAACAAACATTTATTAAGTCCCTAATATGTGATAAGCATTATATGAAGCACAAGGCATAGTGATAAAATAGCCCTGACCCCTGTCCTTCTAGGGCTGAGTACCACAACCACTAAGGTATGGGCCTCTCGCAATGGTCCACTCCTAGCTCACCTCCCAGGCCCAGTCTATGAGGGCCTGTTGGAGGCAAACAGTAGAAAACACAGTGTAGAATTCCATGAAGTTGAACATACTCTCTTTTTAAAGGTGTCCTATACCCCAAGAATAACTTCCTTATTTTGTTCTGTTAAAATTTCCTGCCTTTTTTATGAAATGATAGTGACAAAAGATAATAGAGGATTTTACATACCTCACTTAGAAAACTAATTTTTCCTTTTTAAAATCTGCTTCTCTATGGAATCCAAGTCTGGGATTCTCTGCTTCACACCACAATGCCTTCTCTCTGGGGATTAGCAGATGAAGAGCTCTCCTAATGCTATTACAAGAGCGGAGGTGGAAGCCCCCAGCTGGTGGTCAGTTGAGGTGAGCTGAGTTTGGCAGCTGTTCCTTTCTACATCTGGAATTCTGGCCTTAGAAAAGTATGCTAATAAGCCTAACAAAATGTGTCTCCTGGCTCTGTGACTAACTGTTATTGATTCCAGAAAGTTAGGCTACGAAGACATAGCCAAAAAAATCTCTTCTTTCATAAAATGGATTAGTTAACATTTGTGGAATATTTGAAAGTGGCAAAGGGTTATGTTTATGCTTTATACAATCAACATTCCGAAAAAGTGATTATGAACTGAGGGGAGTGTGTACCTTGAGTTGAGAAGGCAACTCAAGCAATCTCTAAGGGTTACATCATTAACCCGAACATAAATGAGCAACCCACTTGTAATTTCCTGGGTATGTTTCCCCCTGAGCATAGGAGCAAGAGCTCCCTGAACAGCTTCTCTCCTTTCTACATCCAGGAACAGCAGCAGCCAGCTCTTGTTCCTATTGCTGGATTTTCCAATTCAGCTTATCCTGATTCTGGGCCCTTCTGCCAGAGGAAACAGGGAGATTAGGAGAAGTAAAGGGGCAGGCTTATAAATGCCTCAACAGTGAGTACTGAAGCACAGCCCTTTTTCATCCACTGTTGACATAAACTGCCACTCCACTCTCCTGTGTTCCCAGGGGGAAATGCTTATATACCCCAAAGTTGTGTCTTATAAAATTCCTAGAATCATCACAATAGCAACGATTTATTGAGGGCTTACCAAACTTCAGGACTTGGGCTAAGTGATTTCCACACTTATGCTATTATATTCTCATGCAGTCTTTACTGTGTTATCATTAGCCTCAATTTCTAGTTGAAAACAATTAAAAGCTAAAGAATATAAATAACCAAGGGGCTCCAGGATGCCTGAAGAAAGGCATCGGCATTCACCTCCTTCACAAAGAAGAACAAAAATGGCAAGAAGAAAATTACACTTCAAATAGAGCATCTATTTGAAGGGAGGCCATTGGAGTTCAACAGAGAAATGACAGAAAATACTCAAGGCATGGAAGGAGATGGAAGCTAGACAGCCTGTTGAGTGGGATTGGTTGGGAGCCCATAGAGGGTCTCCACTGCAGGGAAACGGTAAGTGACAGATACCCAGGAGTCTACATTTCCATGGAATCCTGCAGCCCTAGCCATGGGAGAATCCCCTGCCCTCACAAGGCCCTGAG